CGAGCGGTCGCGCCCACCGCTCGCTCCTGCCTTTCAGCACCGAGGACAGCGCCCAGCCCGGCGCTACCTTGGTGACGCCTGTGCAGCTGCCGCGGAGATGCTCCAGCCCGGACCAAAGGCAGCAAAGCTGATTTCCGGCTGCTGTGCAGGAGAAGCCGAACTGCTAATTGTTGTTGGCAGGGAAGCCGTCTGTCACCAGGCCCAGCTGTTTTGTGTTCAAAAGTGATGTTTGACTTTTAATTTCAAGAACCTGTGAAACCCACTTAGCGATATCGAAACGCGGCCATTCACATCACCTGATGGAGCCAAAACGCAAATAAGCAAACAAAAGACCCCTTGAAGAAGTGTTCCAAAATTGTGAACTTTAGCTAAAGATGACATAGCCATGGTCCAGATAAAAACCCCACATGCTACGTATAGAGATTGAATCTTTGAAATCACTGTGCGTGGAAATCCAGTCTTTTAGCGTGTGTTCCACTGGGCTGTGATGCCAACGTGCCGAGCCAGCTGGGTGAGGGGAGCTCTCAACAGCCTTCACTGAAGACTCTCACCTGTGGTAGAGACATGTAGGCTTGGCTCCACGGAAGCCCTTTTTTACATACGGATTGAAAACAGAAGACTTTCCCTTCGTTTCAAGAAGGAAAGGCTCCCGAGAAAAAGAAACCAGAAGCTGAAGCATGCCTAGAAAGGGCCCTGAGCCGCAGACCCTTTCCCAGACACACAGAAACCGATGTGCCAGCGCATTTTGGCTGTGAGTTTGGAAACATCACTGCCCACAGAAAGCAAGCTGTTATCATTCAGAGCCCACGAGCTCCAGACCACTGGGGGGGGAAAAAAAAGATGAGGGTAGGGATTAAACATTTGTGGGATAGGAGTTAGTGAGGAGGACTGCAGGCTGGTCTTCCCCGGGTGGAATTTGAGCACTTCATGTGAAATTGCTTGCCAAACCCATGCTGGGAACCTGCTCTGGAAATTCCCTCTGCTGCCCCAGAAATTTGTCACGAAAGTAAATGGCTTTTGTGGTTTAAACAAAGAAATAAAGGAAGATTGAGTACAAGGGACTGTGTCCAGGAGGCAGGAAATCAGAGCGCACAATCATAAAGGGATAACTTGCTAGTATTTCAGAATGTGAAGAAAGTCAGTCTATCATACTGCCTTCCAGTGCAGTCATCAGGTGACTATCATTCCTTCAGCCTTGTGTGGACTGTATTATTGAATACTTGCCGCTTAAACACCCCGAGCCTCAATTTTCCCATTTTGAAAATGCTTTTCCCTGTTTTTGTTTTTTGATATGTATTCCTCAAGCAGGAAGTGCACATATTTATAATTTATTACTAAGCGTAGAGCCTACAATAAAAAAATACCTCACAGTATTATCCCCAATAAATTATTTTAGTCTGTTAATAAACACTTCACTGTATATGAAATGAATTCTATGAATTAAAGTGCATTTAGTCTTTTAAAATTAAATAAGAAGAAAAGTAGTAAGAGAGACAATATTTATCCAATTTGAAAGAATAATTGAACAAATTTTATCTACTCAATCCATAATTGAGATGTAAGGCATAAAATAATTTTTCAGATATTTCCTGTTTCTCTCCATTTAATTTTTTTACAAGACAACCTTTGATTTTATACAAAGTACCTTGGAATGAAAGAAGTGAGAGAGCAAAAGAGATAGGAGCTTAGATGTGGAGAAACAGTAATGTTTAAAGTGTAGTTCAATGTAAATTAATTTTTTAAAAAGACATTTCAAAAACTATTTCAAAGTATAGGGCAACAATGAACTCAAAATTGCCTGAATTACATTCTATAGAAACAAATAGTATAAAATAAGAGTTTGCTGAATCATAGAGCATTTTTTCTGGTAAATAATGTGTAAGAAATCAGGGTAAACATTACTGTTTACTGAAAAATTATAATTTATATATAAAACATAAATAAAAATTTTAGAAGGCATTTCTTGTAATTCAACTACTATTCCACTAATGTTTCTTTCACAAAGTAGTTTTGTATGTACTTTTCACAATATATCTAGGTATATTTCCTGCAACACAGCATAATTATTTTACTATTATAATTCACATAACCTTTTCAAATTCACTATTATATTTATACACCTTATATTTTTCAAATATTTACTGTGAATATAAATGTAATAAATTTAAATTGACTGAAATAAATGGTCATGAAAATAAATGTTAAGTGCTGTAATTTATCTTGAATGCTTAGGAAATTTTTGTTTCAAAAATATATCTGAAATTGGTCATTAATAAAATCTATTTTGAAAATTTCAAAGCCAGGAGTACTGTTAAATAGAACAGTGTGTATCAAGAAACAGTTTGCTACTTTCTGCCCTCTGCTGTTCAATTTTGGTAATTATCTAAAATATAAGTACTGTTTCTGAAGCAAGGTGTAAATTACATTTAAAACAAGAAGCAATTAAAATATTATCCACCTTATCATTTGTTTGTTTGATTGGCTTTTGTTACAGTTGTTGTGTTTTGTGTGTGTTTATAATTTGTAGCATTAAAGCTAGTAATAAATATTGTATGTAAAATTTCAATTCCTGTTTTACTCCATCTTTGTTTCAATATAGGAAACAATAATTTTTATTTTAAACATGCTTTAAAATGTTTGAGGATTTTATATATGCTAACCCATTCTGCACAGTTTTAATTTGTGTTCTATGATGAAAAAGCTTTGCATAAAGGAATGTCATTGTGTGGGTCTGGGAACGATAATTTTGAAATAACTGGGAGAGAAAATTCTAAATGAGTGTGAAACAGTTCCTAGTGATGGAGTCTCACCAAAGTGACATCATCACTTCCCTTCCTATTGATCCTCTGGAACTGTGAGAATGTAGGCCATCTGAAAGGTCTGGGTGCAACTCTGCATTACAAAAGAAGAGCCCATGCTAATGTCAGCAGCAGATACACAGTTAACAGTTCCTACAGAAGGAACCCAGGTTCCCCAACTGAAACCCTATTGGCTAAGAAAGAGAACATTTTAAAAATAGAAGAGAAAGCATGAGAGTTTTAATCATTCAGGGCTATAAATAGAAATGTTCGTTCTGGGGAATTTTAGTGCTTTAATTAAGATAAAGAATAATCCTATATAATAAAAAGCTAATATGCAATCAACCAAACGGTGGAACAACCAGTTGCTATGATGTGCACTGACCACCAGGGAGCAGATGCTCAATGCAGGAGCTGTCCCCTGGTGGTCAGTACACTCCCACAGGGGGAGTGCTGCTCAGCCAGAAGCCGGGCTCACAGCTGGCAAGCGCAGTGGCAGGGGCGGGAGCCTCTCCCACCTCCACTGCAGGCGGGCCATACGGAGTGAGGGGTCCTGGACTGTGAGAGGATGCAGGCCAGGCTCAGGGCTACCCAACCCCCCAGTGCACGAATGTTGTGCACTGGGCCTCTAGTATCACTATAAATAGTAATTCAGATTGAGGTAATATTATTTTTTGTGCAACAAAAATTTAAATCACTGACTCAGTAAGATCAATTACATGAATCAAAACATATATATATATATGTATGTATGTATACACATACATACACTCTAGAGGACTGGTGCACGAATTTGTGCACAGGTGGGGGGGTCTCTCAGAGTGGCCTGCGGGAATTGTGCCCCCACTCATGCCCCCAGCCTTGCAGCCCCAGCTCATACCCCAGCCTCGTAGCCCTGCAACCCTTCCTGGCACCCTGCCTTGGCCTGGTGCTGTCCCCACACCTGCTCCACCATTCTGCCTGCAGGGTGGTCAATCAGGGCCAGGACACCCATGTCTGGCTCCCTCAGCACCTGGGAGCCAGGAGGCGGCCCCACCCCCTCGCTGCCACTGCTGGTTGCCTCCTGCAGGGCGATCAGCAGGGCGATTGGGCCCTTGCTCGCACCTGCTTGGCCTGGCCATGCCCGCTCACCTGCTCCACCATCCCGCTTACCTGCTCCACCATCAAACTGCAGTCCTGCTCTCGTTTGGGCCCCTCAGGGCCCGCAGTGCCTCCCCTGCTGCCCGCTGCCAGTGCTGTGTTGCCATCGCCTACCATGTTCTGTGTCACCCCCTGGTGGTCTGCACACGTCATAGCAAGTGGTCGAACTCCCAGTGGAATGACTGCCCAAGGCGACAATTTGCATATTAAGCTTTTATTACATAGGATACTAGTATATAAGTAAAATTGTCTATTTTGGTTTTTAGGGGTTTTGATTATATGAATTATAATTAATTTTATCCCAAAAGATAGCAATCCTATACCAGAAATATTTATTCGAAAATATTTATTTATTTTAATTCATTAATTCAACAAACTATTAGGGATTACTATATTCTAAATAATGTACTTAATACAGTGAATAAAATGATGGACATAATGGAAGCTTTCCTCAGGAAGTTCCCAGATTTCATTCAAGTAAACAAATGATTAAGACAATGTGAGAAAGCGATCAGATTTAAAACAGTCACATGAATAAGATAATAGGATGAGGCAAAGAAAAATCTATTATAAACAATATATCTTGGAGCTCAGGAAGGGACAGAGTCACCAGAGGATAATATCTGAAATTAGTCAAGTAGAGGTTACCTTGTTGAAGAGTTGGGATGTAGCTAGTGAGAA